TGTGAGGTCAGTGCTATGTACCGGGAACAAAACCGCAAGTAAACACGAATTACTACACCAAATCTCACAATGCGTTCCTAATACGTAATAAACTGTAGTAGAACCTTAGGAAGAAATTATTTAGTGGCAAGACTCACAAAGACTGACAAACAAACATGGTGTTAGTGTGTATTTCATTTCTACCACAGACAGTAATCATTTATTAATTTATATATAATTTTTTTTTAACTATGAGATTCTTTATTCTTGTTCAATAAATTTGTCTTATTAATTCATCGTGCTCTTGTATAGCTAATAAGACAAGGGAACCAAATCACTCAAATCCTTCACTTATGAGAATGAAGGAGCAACTAAACCGTACTTCCTATAAGCTGTGGGTTTAGTTCTGTTTTATTCTTTCAGTGTTGCATCTGTTAAAACTGTTTAATCTAGTATAAACCGTATTTTCCCTACAAACCTGACTTAAATAAATCTTTTGTGAGAATAAATAGTAACAACTTGCAAAAAATATGATATGTACTGTAGATGATAGAAATTATATCTGCTAGTAAAGGCAGTTAATTAAAATGTTATTTTAGCCGGCGTGATGTGAGCTTTTTTAACCCAGTCTTCCACCACTGTTCCGTACAGTACCTAACCTAACCCCGAGACTTTCTTTGACTAATGTACGAAATCTTTAGCAACCCATGACATTTTTAAACAATATACATTAATAAACTCATCTCACATCTACGTGTCGGGGGCAGCTGCATAAAACGCTTCGATGATTATGTATACACCAATGTGCCCGAGCAGAATACATAAACTGCAGGGGTGGTCTGAAAAATGGCAAATGAAATTCAACACCAGCAAATGCAGAGTACTTAATTTTGGAAGAACAAATGCTTATAATGTATACAGCCTTAACAACATCAACCTAGAGAAGTCACCTTGTGAAAGAGACCTAGGGGTACTTGTAAGCCCGGACCTACGGCCTAGAAAACAGTGCGTTAATGTTCGAAATAAGGCAAACAGAGTATTGGGTTTTATATCTAGAGTGTAAGTAACAAGAGTGCAGAGGTCTTATTGCAACTATATTTTGCGCTAGTCAGGCCGCACCTCGATTATGCGGTTCAGTTCTGGTGCCCCTTTTATAGAATGGATATAAATTCACTAGAGTCGGTGCAGCGAAGAATGACAAAAATGATTCCGGGACTTAGAAACCTTCCATATCAGGATAGGTTAATGAAACTTAACTTGCATTCCCTAGAAAGACGAAGAGTGCGGGGAGACATGATAGAAGTATTTAAGTGGGTGAAAGGAATCAATAAAGGGGAAATAGATAAAGTTCTTATAATATCCGAGCAGGATAGGACTCGGAGCAACGGATTCAAGTTGGATAAGTTTAGGTTTAGGAGGGAGATAGGAAGAAACTGGTTCACAAATAGGGTGGTGGACGAGTGGAACAAGCTTACCAACTTTGTAGTAAGTGCGGGAACTCTGGAAAGTTTCAAAAGGAGGCTAGATAGATTCATGGATGATAGAGAGTGGTAGTAACTCTCGACAGGAGCTGCCATGTGCAGGCCAACCGGCCTATTGCAGACTCCTTATTTTCTTATGTTCTTATGTTCTTATACCCCACAGTGTAAGCAAATATTAAACACATGTATATTCTTGCTTGCTCGAGCAGAGAGTAAAGACTAAGAAATTCAGATTTGTTTAAGCTCGAGGAATCCTTAAGTAGTTTGGGATTAACACAGTTTTTGTTCTATTTTTGGGAATATCACTTGTCGCCCAGAGTGAGGCCGTAAGACAAGGAAACCGTTACACCCAGTACAGTAACGTGATACTTGAGATACTACGTCACTCTTCACCTACAAATACTATCATTATTTTTTGTGAGGGAAAATAATCAACAAAAATATTGACGTTAAAGGTTTGTAATAAAGGATTTACATGATCTTAAGATAACAAGTACAGTATTGTTTTCACTACTGACGTTATAATCACCAACTCGGTAAAAATATAAATGTCCTATTAGCAATGAATATATTAACCACACACGATATAGAAAGAAACATATATGATCTAAAGCGATATAACAACACTGATAAAATCCAAACGATTAATGTTGTCAGCGGGAAGACACGCCCTCCTGAAGAATCCATCCGTTCAAGTTTCATCTGTGCCAAAAACTTCCCTAAGCTGAAAGGGACGGACCAAACTGTGCAAAGTTAATCCTCCCTACGTGTGAGAAACAACACAAATAACACAGGGAAGGAGGATATTGTGAGGGAAAGTAGCAGGAGTGAGGAAGAGGAGAGAAAAATATGGTGAGGTGAGAAGGAAGTGGGAATTCCTTAGGGACTTCGGTCTGATGTGATGGACGGTCTTCTTGGGGTATTGTGAGAGACTGTGTGGCCAAGACTGGTTACAGTGGTGTGGTGCCGTAAGTGCTAGTGTGGTGAGGTGAAGCAACTGTATCTTGCTCTTGTGAGACCACACCTGGATTACGCAGTTCAGTTCTGGTCACCGTATTACAGAATGGATATAGAATCCTTGGAAAGAATTCAGAGGAGAATGACAAGACTAATCCCGGGCATTAGGAACCTTGAGTATAGAGACAGGTTAAAGCATCTTAATTTGCATTCCCTTGAGAGACGTAGAGCGAGGGGTGACCTGATAGAGGTGTATAAGTGGAAGGCAGGGCTAAACAAAGGGGACATTACAAAGGTACTCAAATTATCCAACCAGGAGCGAACTCGTAACAATGGTTTTAAATTCGACAAATTTAGATTTGGGCGTGAAATAGGTAAACACTGGTTTGGAAACAGAGCAGTGGATGAATGGAACAAGTTACCAAATATCATCATTAACTCGAATACGCTGAATTGCTTCAAACATAGGTTGGATGCTCATATGAGCAATAGGGGGTGGGTGTAAACGGGACTTCCCAGTATGGGCCAATAGGCCCGCTGCAGTTTCCTCCATTCTTATGTTCTTATGTTCTTAAGTATTAGTGTGGTGAAGTGTAGCAAGTATTAGTGTGGTGTAGTGAAGCAAGTGGTGGTGAGGTGTAGCAAGTATTAGTGTGGTGAGGTGAAGAAAGTGGTAGTGTGGTTAAGTGTAGCAACTATTAGGGTGGTGTAGTGAAGCAAGTGGTAGTGTGGTGAGGTGTAGTAAGTCTTAGTGTGGTGTGGTGAAGCAAGTGGTAGTGTGGTGAGGTGTAGCAAGTCTTAGTGTGGTGTGGTGAAGCAAGTGGTAGGTTGGTGAGGTGAAGCAAGTGGTAGTGTGGCGAGGTGTAGCAAGTATTAGTGTGGTGAAGAAAGTATTAGTTTGGTGAGGTAGAGCAAATTATAGTGTGGTGAGGTGACGCAATGTGAGTGTGGTGAAGTGAAACAAGTATTCGTGTGGTGAGGTGAAGAGAGTGTTAGTGTGGTGATAGGAACAAGTGCTATGCATGGCAAGGCATATTGTGTTTCATACATCTTATCAATAAGACCCAGAACATTAGATTGAATCAGCAGAGAGAGAGAGAGACGGGGGGGGGGGTGTCGAGGATGTGATAAGCAGTCGCTGTCTGAGTGAGTTAGTCAGCAAATCCTCCGAGGAAATTCGAATGGCATCATAACTTTCATTTCGTTCTTCTTATTCGACTGTAACTCACTTAACGATGGACCATTAAGTGAGACTAACTTGAGGAGAAATAGCTGCAAGGTTAAGGTGTAGAAGGAGATGGTGAACACTGTAGCACTTACGTATGTATCACTGTAATGTATATATGGTGTGGATAGTGTGGTGGTCAATGTGTGTGTGTGTGTGTGTGTGTGTGTATGGGAGGCGTAAGCGATCAAGAGAGCACATTTTATAAGTGTCAAAATGACTTTTTTCTTTAACTAAAATATGTATGTCACTCTTTCAACAACACGAGACAACGTGAAGATTAATTCCAATGACTTTATTATATGATCGAAGGAAAAAAAATTTGAGAAATGTGAGAATAAGAACTAAAGAGGAGAAAAAGAAACAGAAACAATTAAAAAATGCAGAGAAAATTGTTCTGAGAAATGGCAAAAAAAAGGAAAACTGACATTGACTGGAGAGTGACACAAGGTTCCGCTTTAACCACCTCTATGTTTAGTCTGTGATATACCAATCAGGTCTAGTGTTTAGGTCTGTGATATACAAGTCGGGTCTATTGTTTAGGTCTGTGCTATACCAGTCAAGTCTATTGTTTAGGTTTGTGATATACCAGTCAGGTCTATTATTTAGGTCTGTGCTATACCAGTCAGGTCTATTATTTGGTTCTTCCGGGCTGGTGAAATGATGGAAACAAAATGATGAATTATATGTCTACCAAGTCACATTAACCTCACCTTCCTCCATTACCACTTGACAATTTTTACAATCGTATTTTTGGCCAGAATATAAAAGTGTTTTGTAATGAACGGAAGACACTGTATGAGCGGACTTTAGTATCATCTAAGAGCTTTACCTCGACATAATACGCTCATTGTTTTGTAATTCAGCAGAAATTCACCTCAAGTTGGGGAATAAACTGTAGCTTAACAAGGGACGGAGAACCTGACATAACAAAAGCTATTATGAATAAGAGAGTTAGGAAGTAGTTTGGTATTGCTTGTAAGTGTACAGTACGTGTGTGTGTGTGTGTGTGTGTGTGTGTGTCATTATGAAATCAATTCGTTATCCATGTAAGAAAGATAAACACCGTGATAGTCTTACAGACGGTGTAATCATATCCTGCCTAATGCCACCATAGTCCTATCGTGCGTCACCCCACCACTGCCCTATCCTCCCTAATCCCACCACAGTCCTATCCTATCTCACCCCACCACAGCCCAATCGTGCGTCACCCCACCAGATCCCATTCCTGCCTAATCCCACCACAGTCCTATCGTGCGTCACCCCACCATAGTCCTATCCTGCCTCACCCCAGACTCTCCTATCCTGCCTCACCCTACCACAGCCCTATCATGCCTCACCCCACCACTGCCCTTTCCCACACACTCCACGGCCCTCAGTCAGGTCATCACTCAACACACACCACGGCTCTCAGTAAGGTCATCACACTAACACGCCACACGGCCCTCAGTCAGGTCATCACTCAACACACACCACGGCCCTCAGTCAGGTCATCACTCAACACACACCACGGCCCTAAGTCAGGTCATCACCCAATACACATCCACTTAAGAAAGACTAGAATAAACAGGAAGGCTTCAGATCTCCAAAATATTTTATACATACTTATTGTATTTTGGAGAAAAAATCATATGGCAAAAAAATAAAAATTACAGATGTCTTGGAAAAATATGCTTTGTAAAGGAGATATTAGACGGCAAAAATTCTTTACTGACATGAGGAGGCACCAGTGTTAGTAAATAATGAACTTAATGATTCATGCCACAAGAAACACGAACTAGTTATCACGATATGCTTCTCTTGAAGACACTTCGTATTGATTCTGAGTATCGGAATCTGAGCTACCAACTTCTTGTTGTAAGGGTGTCAGTCTGTCCCTCGCACCAAAAGCGTCTGGACACCTGCCAGCAGCAGCAGTCTCCCAAGAGCCCCAAAGAGTGTTCTTGTGGTCGTCATGATCACTTTCTCTGCAGACAGGATGACTTCCTTCTTCGTCATCTTGCTGATACGGAGTCTCTGGAATCCTGCAGGAGCCTTGTTGTTAGGTCGTGTCAAAAATGACTCTTGTCCAACTTCGGGATACGTGACCAAGACGCTCACTGTCAGTGACAAGGTAAGTCACTCACAGAGAGAGGGAGAGATGGACTAAAACTCTTTACCACAACTTGAGTTTTTCTATTATTATATTCATTGCCACACGTTTATATTATTCATGTTCTCTCTTTTTCATTCATGGTTTCTCTTAAACTCTGACCATTTGTTTTGTCTCATTAATTTTATTCAAACTATTATATTATACAACAATATTATATTTGTGACCTCATCAGCTGTCCACTTTGTTAACTAAAACTGTGTTGTGTTTATGACTTAACAGCTGATGTGTGCTGCAGCGTGTACAGCTGCTTGGACGTGTCAGGGCTGCTGTTACAGTGCCGTTGACCGACAGTGTCTCCTGTCCAACACTGTCAAGACCACCGTCCTCACAAACCTAGTCTCTGCCCCCGGCTACACCATGTACTGGACAGGTTAGCGTGTGTTTATTTTGTCTGTGTATGTCTTGAAAAAACACGAAAGATAAGGTGCTTCAGTGTTTCCCTTTTCCTGTGTGGTCTTATAGAGATTTATCTTGTCCACATTTCTATTGTGGATCTACATGAAATACCCAAGTTTTTGTGCACACAATGAACCATGTGAATTGATAAGTTTTGCTGAAATTCATTTCTCACTAAAGTACCAGTGAATGACCTTTTCATTCCTTAAAGATAAATTGCAACTGTTACATTCGACTATTGAACATGATATATTTCTCACACTGATAGAGTTATGTATACAGCCTTAACAACATCAACCTAGAGAAGTCGACTTGTGAAAGAGACCTGGGGTACTTGTAAGCCCGGACCTATGGCCTAGAAAACAGTGCGTTAATGTTCGAGAATAAGGCAAACAGAGTATTGGGTTTTATGTATATATATATATATATATATATATATATATATTGGCGTCTTCCTGCTTCACAGACTACGGGGAAGGCTTTCAGCGTATTGGCAGGAAAGCCTATCGCCTCGTCACCAGTCACCTCTCCCACCACAAGGCCAGGCTGAACTGTGCCAACATGGGCGCCTCGCTTGCTCTGCCTAGGGTATGTAACTATCATTTCTATTTTCCCTGTTAAAGTGTACAAAGTTAATTGCATCTCTGTTAATATTATGTTAACTCTCTCTTGTTCCTTTTTCAATAAATTCAAGACTAATAATGTTGCGTCAAGTTAACAGTTTTGTTGTTCTTCCTATTACTGTACTCTCTCTCTCTCTCTCTTTCGCCTGTATATCTGGCCTTGTATTTCTCTCTGTCTCTCTACTTCTTCATCGTTTTTATAAATCGTTAAATTTGTACAAGATTTGTGATATTTTGCAGGTAATATTGACCTTCTTCCTATATGGCTCTATTTTAATAATACTTAACAACAACGAACAGTAATAATTAACTCTTTATATCTGGGGTCTGGCCACTCGACCGGGATTAAAACAATAACACGACAATGAAGGTCGTAACAGAAAACACATCGATCAGTCGACCGGCTAGTAAGCCAACAAGTGGTGATAATCATTACAAAATACATTTCACTTATAAATTACAACTTATATATGCCACAACGATATACGTGTGTCGTTATTGTTGTGTTTTTGTACTTCAACACCTGTGGTGTTTAATTATCGTTACATAAGAACATAAGAAAATAAGGAGTCTGCAATAGGCCGGTTGGCCTGTGCATACGGTGCATGGCAGCTCCTGTCGAGAGTTACTACCACTCTCTATCATTCATGAATCTATCCAGCCTCCCTTTGAAACTTACCAGAGTTCCCGCACTTTCTACAAAGTTGCTAAGCTTGTTCCACTCGTCCACCACCCTATTTGTGAACCAGTTCCTTCCTATCTCCCTCCTAAACCTAAACTTATCCAACTTAAATCCGTTGCTCCGAGTCCTATCCTGCTCGGATATTATAAGAACTTTATCTATATCCCCTTTATTGATTCCTTTCACCCACTTAAATACTTCTATCATATCTCCCCGCACTCTTCGTCTTTCTAGGGAATGCAGGTTAAGTTTCTTTAACTTATCCTCATATGGAAGGTTTCTAGGTCCCGGAATCATTTTTGTCATTCTTCGCTGCACCGACTCTAGTGAATTGATATCCATTATCCGTTACTACGGCAGTTTTTACATTATACAACAACCTTACCACTACCTGTGGTAATAGGTAAGATTATCTTAGGGTGGTTAACCTTAAGGTGAAATAAGCTGATGGGGGGGGGGGGGCTAATATTAATGTGATACTAAATTTATCATAAAGTTATAACTTTGGACAAAGTTTATTATATTATGTTTTTGACAAGTCTTCCTTTTTCTCTAGTTTTTGGTCGTCTAATAAAACCCTTATGAGATGTCAAAGTTTGTCTTAAATATTGAACTACAGTTACAAGTGAACAAATACCACTAAAGCCAAAGGTTCCTTGACATCTGGCATTTGTTTACGAGTCATACATGAGTGACTGGTTAGGTTAGGTTAGGGTTGTAGGTGATCAATGATTTTCATTAAAAATTTGGTCAGGCGAGCAAGTCACGTGATGGTTAACTGAGGACAGTACTCCTTATACAGATATGGGCTATTTACATATAGTACATGTATAAATTACACTCCCCGAATTACCTACTTAATCATCAACTAAACATATCTTATCAACACCTTTTCACGTGTTGGGTGACATACCCATGTCCTCCACACACCTCTGATATGCACAGGTCATCATCACCAGGTGACCAGCCCTCAGTGGACTTAACCCATGTATCTCACACTCAGCAGACGTGTTAAAGGAGCTTCATAACTCACTTTTTTTATTCTCTCGTAGAAGGGGCAGTTGCTATTATCGGTCAGTTCGTTATTGATAACCAAATTAAGTTAGACATTGTGTGAACATTAATTATTAATAAACAAAGACGAAGTAACAGTTACAAAGTACCAGTTGAGGGGAACACCAGCTAGTACAAGATGATCTAGTAGATGACATCTCACCAGTCCAGATTAAAGGTGGCAGCTAGTGTGATACGAAACTGTTAGATCATAGCTGACAACAGGTGGGATAGTCCAGACATTCCACAAATAAATCATGTGACAGTTAGGTTACATCAGGATATTGGTTGCTGAGGTTATGTAACGTGAGCCCAAGTCAGGTTAGGAGTTGGTTAGGTTAAGTAAGGTTGGATAATTTTAGGGTTAGGTTAGGTTCAGTAAAGTTACAGATGCGATAATTAGGCAGGTGATAAGTAGTACACCTTTTGTCACTTGTCTCACTCATGCAGAACAAGGATGAGATAGACGCCGTGAGAAGACTTTACAGCTCTGCATCAGTCTGGATCATGGTCAGTGACGCTACCGTGGAGAACACCTGGGAGAACACTGACACAGGTGAGGCTAACTTGAATAACAAGTAAATAACATTGATATCTTAGTCATCGTCAATAGCACCGTCTTTATCATTATCGTCGTCGTTCCCGCCATCATCATCACCACCATTATCATCATCATCACCATTATCAACATCATTACCACCAATATCACCAACTTCACCATCACCACAAAACAGCAATAACTTTCCTCCCACTCAGGTGAGGATCTCTCTTTCTTCAACTTCGCTTCGCGTCAACCCAACGGAGGCACCGCAGAGAATTGTGTATATATAAAATTGATTAATGGACTGTGGCACGACTACAATTGTGGATATGGACTTTGGTTCGTGTGCGAGGTGCCCGCCCCTTAGTAATGTGGTGGACTCCCTAACACTGACTGCCTCCATCTGTGTTCCTACTGTATGTGACTCAGTGTATCTGTTTCTCTTAGAACTGATACTCATTTGTCTCAGCAAGGCCAAGTGTGTCTCACAAAGAGTGTATATAAGGAACACCTGCGTCTAGAATAAAGAACACACAAAATAATCTGAAGTGTTTTATTTTATCTAATCTTCTGTTTCCCATGTGGTGAAGACTGTGTGTATTTAGTGGGAAGCATATATTGTATAATATACATATATGTGTATATACAAATAATAGAGAAAAGTCGTGTATATAAGGTATAGCCAACACGTCTTCTGTGGCTCTTTCGACTAATCAGCAAGTTAATGCATTAATACTAGCCAATGATCAACCTGCACGCAAGCTTAGTAACACATGAGAGGGGGTTTTCACATTATTTCCCCATCAAGCTGAAAAACTCGGATATATGTGTTGAAAAAGCAAATTTAAGTCCTACAAATATTTGTACATAATTAAAAACACGGAGATATATACTGAGTAGAATTATACAAGAGTCTGAGTCATCCAGGTGGAAGCACCGAGAGAGAGAGAGAGAGAGAGAGAGAGAGAGAGGCTGTAGCGGCTGTTGTCAATGTGATAAAGGGCTTTGTTTCACTGCTGCGTAAGTCTTTTAAACATGAGGTTTACTGCTGGAAATATTGCTATTCAGTATTCAAAGCTTAACTCATCCTCGTATCTACTCGACCGCCCACACAGCGATAGTCAGTATGTGGGCCATTTTGATAAGATTTTTATGAACCAGGATAATAAAGTCCTCACCCACCAAACTAGATCATATAACATCTAATTAGCCAAGACAAAATAAGTCAACTAAGGGTCATTCCTGCTGACCTTAGTGACCACTTTATCACTTACTATAGCATTAAAAAGGTTGGGGTAAGACAGAAGAGCGCAACGTAAAAAATACAGTCAAAGAAAAAGTACAAAATAGAGAAGTTTCAAAATATACCCTAAAATAATGATTGGACGCACCTGGCAAATTTCATAGTGGTTATCGAGGCCTCGGAGAAGTTCTAAACACTTTTACTGACGTTCTTTAAGAACATAAGAACATAAGAATGGACGAAACTGCAGCGGCG